ATGGCCGCTGAGCCTGCGCGTCCGGAGCCTGTGCTCCGCAACGGGAGAGGCCACAGCAGTGAGAGGCCCGCGTACCGAAAAAAAAAAAAAAAAAAAGAGAGAGAGACCCCATAGAGCTCTCTCACTCTGTCCACCATGTGAGGACATAGCAAGAAGATGCCAGCTATGAACGAGGAAGAGGGCCCTCACCAGAACGTGACTATGCTGGCACCTTGATCTTGGACTTAACAAATTTCTGTGGTTTTCGAGTTACCCATTCTGTGTTACTTCATTACAGCAGCCCAAATGGACTAAGACAACCCCCCCATCCCTGAGCTTTAACAGGATGCATGGCCATTCCGTAGGGATGGCATCGCTTGGCTTCCTTTGGATGCTAAGTGTGGCCATGTGACTAAGCCTGGCCAATAGGAAGCAAGCAGCAGTGATGATGCAACTCCAGCCTGCCCTCTCCTTCTTTGGCCTTCCTGAGGCTGTAAGGTGGACATCTGCCAGTGAGCCAGATCTGACCATGTAGTCCAGGGCAACTCCCGGCAGGTGGCAGAGCAACAAGACAGAAGGAACCAGGCCTCTGGATGACTTAAGGAGGCAAAGCACCAGCCCACCCTGAGACCCCACCAAAGTGGGATTGTTAGATGAGACAAAAGGAAACCATTTCGAGTTAGCACACAACTGTGGGTCTGTCTGTTAAGCAACTCAACCTGTGCCTTATGCTAATACAGTGAATTTGCGCAAGCTATTTCACCAATCTGTGCCTGAGTTTCCTCACCTGTGGAACGGGTAAGAGGATGAAATCTGCTGGCACAGGAAAGAGCCAGTCAACCTTTGCCGATGTCATTATTATCAGCAGACACAATTCTAGAGTGATACATACCAAACCGTAAGAGTGGTTCTTTCCCTGCAAAGGGGAATTACAGGGAACTCAGACATACCTTGCTAAATTTTGCACCAAGTATATGTTTAACTTTGTACTCAGAAGAAAACATGTAAGTACTGTGTATGTTTGTAAAGTAGGGCAGGGAAAACATGAAACTCTAACTTGTTATCTACTACACAAGATCATACCCACAGCACCCTGTTCCCTTGACGTCATCCACAACAGGAGCCAGGCCTGGGTTTCCCAAGGAAATGACCACCCAGGAAACTGCTTGGCTGAGTCACCAGACAGGCAGACAACAACTGCAGAGGCCAAACGGGCCCAGAGCTGAGAGCTGAGAACCTCCCCAAATGTGGCCTCAGTTCTGAGAACCAGACGGGGGGAAGGAGCGGCTGGTTCCCAGAGGGCACCTGTCCCAAAAGTTGGCTCCATTCCTACGAGGAAGCCTGCTGCAGGGCCACCTGCTTGAGCAGAAGGCAACTGGGTGAGGGTCAGTGGCAAGGATACATCCTCAAGGGGACAGCCAGGTCCTCCTCAACCATATTCCTCTCCCTTCATCAATTCAACCACGTTATTATTCACTGAGCACCTAGGCACTCGGACAGAGTTGAAAAAGACAGATAAAATCCCTGCCCTCGGGGGAGAGAAGCAACTGAAATATTAACTACATGAATAAGACCCTTTCAGACGGTGCCAACTGCTCTGAAAAAAAAGAAACCAAAACAAAGTGTCGTGACAGAGGGTGCAGCGGTGGGTTACTTCATTTAGGATGGTCTAGCACAGCCTAGCTGAGGTGGTGACATGAGCTGAGACCTGAACCGTGAGCAGGATTGAGGAGATGCAGTGATGCAGCCTTGCAGGAACAGTCAGTGCAAAGGTCCTGAGGCAGAAACAAGCTTAGGGAGGAAGGAAAAAGTGGCCAGGCCTGAGTGTACTGAATTACTAAGGAGGACACAACCCCCGAGGGTGGGAGTGTGGCTTTTTGTATCCACACCAAGGACACTTAATCAAGGGCTCTGCAAACAGTCGGCACTCAATAAATTCTGCTGGCTACCTGGAAGTGTGGCTCTCCTAGGCTCTCAGAAGATGGTACCTTATAGCTAGCAGGTGCACAAACAGTAGGAGAGCTGAGCTGTGAATTTAAGCAGGGCAGAGGCCCAGGGTGCTATTTCCTCAAATGCCTGCAGGCAACAGGAAGTTCTGCTGCTTCAGGTCACCAATACCCTGGGGGCTCAAGTGAAGAAGCCAAGAGCAGGGGCTTGGAAAGCCTGGATTTGAGCCCTGGCTCCATCCCTGCCCATTTGCGCAAGACACTTAACCCCTTTGTGCCCTAGGTTCCCCAGGGGCAGATAAGGAAGGAATCCATTCCCCACTCCCTCTCCTGCTTTTCCTTGGGAGCCACCAATCTCAGTCCACCTAGTCTGGGTGGAAGAACCCATATTGCTGGCGGGTACAAGGCTCAGGCCTGCCTAATCTGCATATTCCCACACCCTGGCCATCGTGATTGGCTCAGTGATAGGCACCTGACCTAATCAAGCCAATGAAACCCATGGGACTTCCCTGGTTTGAACCCTGGTTGGGGAACTAAGACCCCACATGCCGTGCGTATGGCCAAAAAAAGAAAAAGAAAAAAAAAAAAAGAAACCCAGTTTTGGGACTCATTGAAACTTGTGGGAAAACACGTCATTCCATCAAGGTTGCCGAGAAACGGAAAGGGAGCCTGCAGCTACTGGGACTAACATGTCACTACAAGTTGAAAAGCCGCCTGAGAGTGATGCCAACACAGAACACTGAGGCTAGAGCTGGAGGAAGATTCCAAACAACTTCAATTTGGTCCTGGATCTAGCTACGCCTGTAGCCAGCACTATTTCTCAGTTATAGGAGGCAGTAAATTCCCTTTTTGGATTAAGCCCGTTTGAGTGGGTTTCTGTCATTTGCAAGCAAAAATCCTGACTAATAGATCCCATCTGTAAATGGAATAAAAACATTCCAACCTCAAACAACCTCAGACCTCTGTTTTCAGAAATAAATAACTCTTGGCATGTAGAGTACTTGACATATCAGGCTCAATACATGATGGTTGTTATTAGCTGCTGCTAAGACGGTGAAAAAGGAAGCCTGTGACAGGCACCTCCATCGCCCTCATCTCCAGATACGTCCTGGTGTTGGAGGGCGGCAGATAGGGGTGCCACACACCTGCTTAGGGGGCTTGTGCCGATTATACTCCTCTCCCCAGAGCTTGGCTTCCATCTGTAGACGCACATCCTCAAAGTACACGTCCCTGTCCACGGACTCGATGTAGCGCTTTGCCACGTAGTTGGAGGCCCCCTTCCACTGCTGAGTGTGCAGGAAGTTGGAAAGCTTCTTCCTGAGGGGAGAGGCATCAGGGGGCCCGCCTGGGTGTTCTGGATCCCAGCCCTAGTCCCCAGGACGGGAAGACCCTGCCTGACCTGGCTGGCTAGAGCCAGGAACAAAATGCAAGAGGTGGGAGGGGCTTCCCCACCCCACAGCATCCTTCAAAGAGCTGCGAAGGGGGCTTAAGGGACATACTTCCTGTCCTCCTCCAGCCCATCCCCACAGCCGGTCCCAACGTATGGTCCAAGGGAGACCAGATGGAGAGGAGCTTGGGCTACAAGAAGAGAAGCCACTGTCTCCATTTCTTGACTGGAAATGTCACAGTGCCCCTGCTCTCAGGAGCCTGAGGGAGTCTGGGCAGGGCCCCGAGAGGCAGGCTGAGTCACTTACGTCCTGAAGCACTCCCTCATTGCTCCCCGGCCGAAGGGCTGAAAGACATCACACAGTGGGTTATCAGTCCCCACACCCCACCCAGAGGCTACGCTGAGCCATGAGGAGATTTTCCCCTTGGACGTCACCCACCAAATCGATGCCCTGGACCTCATCTCAACCCTAAAATCCCTGGGCCCTCCTTCCTTTACTGCAGCACCAAGGCCTCATAGAACTTCCAGCCTGGAGGCTGCAGGACTGATGAGACCACCCTATTCCCCGCCCTAGCTGAGCAGAAGACTCCTCAGGGGGTGAAGATATTATGGGGGTGACCGGGTGGGGGTAGAGACAGTACATGTCAAAGGATGTTTTTTTGTAGCCCTGTCTGTAACAGAAAAAAAGCAAAAACACCCAAATGTCCATCGACAGTATAATGGATCAATCAATCAGGTCTATTTTCTCGACAAAATATTATACAGCAATGAGAATGAACAAATTACAGTTCTCGAAAAAACATGTACAAAACCTCATGGACAAAATGTTGAGCTATACATATACTGTATGGTTCCATTTATACGGAGTAAAAAAGGAGGCAAAACCAATCTCGGGTGATAGAACTCAGGGTAGCGCTTACCCTTGGGGGTAAAGGAGTAGTAACTGGGGCTGAGAGGGGCTTCTGGGGGTGCTGGTGATATTCTGTGTCTTGATCTGGGCACTAGTTATACACATGTTCACTTGGTGAAACTCATCAAGCTATACACTCTTCTGAGTGTGTGATACACTACAAGATGTTTCACAAATCGATCCTGCCCCTTACTATGCAGGAAGTTCTCTATTCTCTAGTTGATTCCTTTTTCTTGCAACCCACTGAGTTCACCTTGTTAGATGAAAAGTAATAGGTGGTGACCTGCAAGTTTTGAAAACTGATATACACATTCACGGTTCACTGATTTTCAATAAGAGTGTCAAGAAGAATCTTTTGATATATATGATTAATACATGAAATGCCCAGAATAGGTAAATATACAGAGACAGAAGATAAATTAGTGGTTGCCCCATGGCTGGGGCAGATAAGGGAATTGGAGACTGACTGCTAATGGGTAGGTACAGGGTTTCTTCTAGAGATGGTGAAAATGTTCTGGGACTGATCATGGTGATGGTTGTTGCATAACTCTGTGACTATACTAGAAACCACTGAAGTGTACACTTTAAATGGGTATGGGGTATGGTGTGTGCATTATATCTCAATAAAGCTGTTGTAAAAAATAAAATAAATATACAGTACTATAAAGAATCCCCCGCAGTTAAAAAAAATAAAATAAAGTGGGTGTAGAGGAGAGGAGGCAAGCCCTGACGTCGGCTCAAGAGAAATCCCCCCTCAGCCCTGACTACACTGGGCTCGAGGCTCTGCTCACCTGAGACGCCATCTTGATCACAACTTCATCCTCCAGCCACTCCCCGGTGACAGCGTTGTACCTGCAGAGACCAGAACCCACCCCAGGGCGCAGCGTTCATTACCTGATCCTGTCACTCACTAGCTGAAGGCAGAAGACTTTTCTGGGCTGCCCAGTGCCCTCGGGATCAAATCTGCTCTCTACCCACAGGCCCAGCTGACCTCCTGGGTTGGGTCTGTGGACACGCCCCCTCCCTCCCAGGTCCCCACCACACTGGCCTCCTTCCCCTTCGTCAAAGGCAGCTATTCCCTCTCCACCATGTCCCCCAGCGCTTACTGTTGTGCAGTGGGCGGGCTTGCTCCCTACCTATCTGGCTCCCCCACCGGACTATAACTCCACTAAAACAGGCCAGTGAACAGGACCTGGTACAGAGGAGGCTTAATAAATGCATGTTGGATGAGCAGTTGAATAAGTAAATATCCTTGTTATAACTGTCCTAGGTAATGAATGGCGTGTCCCAGGATGGGAGGTGGCGGCATCCTCGGCCTTGCCCGTGTGAGGCCCGGCCCAGGTCCCGGTGCAGGCAGGGCTGGGGGAGGGTCCTGCCTCTGAGTCCAACCAGGAAAGGGGCTGCTGGATACACACCCAAGGCAGAGAGGAATGGAGAGGGTTCCAGAACATTTTCACCTCTCTTTGCCCAGGGATCCTCTTTACCAGAACAAATCTGCCCCTAGGCCTGGCTGGGCCTTAACAGGTTTGCCTGGTAGGAAGCTCCTTGGCTCAGTAAATCCCTAAAATCTTACACCTCCCCCAGGGCTGAGGTGTTCTTAGCTCTAGCAGATGCCTCCCTGGCCCTCCCTCAGGGGCGACAGACTCCAGAACCTCCCAGCTCGTGGGAACAGCCTTCTCAGAGCCTGAAAAACGAGCAGAGGCCTGGCAGTTAACCCACCCCAGGCCCAAGGTGGGGAGGAAGGCTTGTCAGAGCCACACACCTGCTGGCACCAGCCCATGGCAAGCACTGTGCTCAATAAATAACAGCAATCATTGTTATTACTACTATGTAGAGGCCAAGGTAAAGGAAGTACTCTTCCCTCACTTCCAAACAGACTGAAAGCTGAGAGGCGCCCAGAAGTTGGGGGAGGGCAGAGACCTGCAACACAGGAAGGCTCTTAACTGTCCTTCACAATCCCTAACCTTACAGAGGACAGAGCTGCTCTAAGTTCACTGAGCATTCACTGTATGCTGAGTGCTTACACGGAACTCCTCCATCAACCGTCACTCAGCCCTGTGAGATCCGTACAAATATTGTGCTCACTTTCCAGATGGGGAAACCAAGGTTCAGAGAGGTGAAAAAACCTTCCTGAGAGCCAAGATTCAAACCCAGGTCGGTTTCAAACAGAACTTTGCTCTTAACCAGCCTGGGTACAACCCACGTGAAGAGGAAGTCTGTCCCAGTAAAGGGCTGGCTTGCAGCAGAGCTCTTTAAAAACCAGCAATAGAGGTGGAAGCCTCCAATTTAGAAATCTCTGGACATTCTGGCCATCAGTGCCTGACCTCCCTCTGCTGGCAGCCAGGGCAGGTGAAATCAGCTACTATGGTTAAGAAATAAACACAATTCGGCACGGGCCCTGGTCCCTGGCCGCCAAGGAGCTCAGGGACACACAGAACCAGCCCAGCATGTGAGTCCTGCTTTTCCAAGGGCCTCCCTGGTGGCCTGGTGTCCTCAGCCTGGAGGCCAGATGTCACCGACCAGCCACCACGCTGCGTTTATAGGCAGGAAGGAACAGAGTCCGCAACCTGGCCTTCTGGGGCCCCAACGATGCTGACCTCAGCTGCCGGCACAGACCCCAGAGCCCACTAGGAGGTCAGCCTCCGAAATGGGGAAAGGTGCACGCTAGGTTCTAAGCCATCTTCTCACAAGGTGGGAGCAGGAACACATTGCAGAAAGGTGGAGAGGGCTCCACTGTTTCTGCCTGCCTAGCAACTGCTCCCCTTTCTTCTGGTAACAGCACCCTAATTTTCCTTTGGAAAACCACCATCCTCCATTCTCAGAACATATGGACTGAGTGAAGCTGATCCCCCAGCACCTTCTTGCTTGTGGTATGTGATCTAGACCTGGCCAGTGAGAGCAAAGCTCCTGGCACAATGACTGGTTCAGTAACCGGCCTATAACCAAGGCCAGGCCAATAAGATTCAAATGTGGGACTTTTGTTTTTAAAAAAATTGAGAAAGAAAGATCCTTTCCCACTGAGTGAGATGAAATATGGGGCTCCTAGGAGCCATGTGTGCCACTGATGTAAGACAGTCTATCTGGGGTCAGAGCCAAAAGCATCCTTGGAGCATGTGGGACTAGTCATATGTGAAACCCAAGTAGATGAGTCAACCATTCCTTTCTATGTTTAAGCCACTGCGAATTGGGTTTCAGTCACTTGCATTTGAAACAGAGTCCTGACTAATTCAAAGACACTGGTCTGAGTCAGAAAGTTATCTTATTAACTACCTGGGTGACGCTGTTCAAACCTCTCTCTCCACTGGGGCAACTGAGGGAACTCACAGGGTTCACCTGGATGAGTCAGAGCTGGAGGGGTCTACAGAGGTCACAGGACACAGGACAGGCCCCAGGGAAGATCCATGAGTCTTCTAAAATTATGAGTCAAATTAGACATATGTGTGCAACTTTCTGAGATGGCTTCATCAGATTCTCAAAGGAGTGCCGAAGGCTTGACACAACTACTCCAGACTTTTTTTTAATGAGTAAATACATATAGAGTGCTTAAACAGTGCCTCGCAGATGGAAAATTCAGTAAATAAGGACCCTCATCATCATCACCATAGTCCTCCTTATTATTATGTTGGTGGTAGCGTTTTTTTCTTTTTCATTTTTCTTCCTGAAACCCCCTGAAAACACTCTTCCTTCCTTCTGCCTTTTCAAATAGGAAATCTAGACCCTCCCAGCTCTGTTTTGTGAATCTTCCTGGGGCCAAGGCACTGAAAGGCTGGTCTGCTTTCCTTCCCTTTGATAGCAATTGTGGGGTCATGTGTTGAGATGATGGAGGTACAAGACGAAAGCAGCCTGGATCCCTGAGATGCCCTGAAGAGTTACTCAACTCTCACCCAACTTCATATGAGCAAGAAATGCACCTTTGTTGCATAAAGTCCTTGGGGTATTTGTACTTGCAGCATAGCTCAGCCTAGCCTGTAGAATACACACCTTACAGGATTAAATACACACTGTAAGGATTAAATGAGATCATGCACAATGCCTTAAGCATGCGTAAATACTCAAATACTGGCTGATATTATTATTATTATATTCCCTTTTCCTTGATCTCCAAGGGTACTTAAGCCTCACTGATTTTAAGCAGAAGGAGGACCCAAACCCCAGTGACTCCTTGTGGACTGGGGTCATATAGTGTCTGTAGACAAGGTACTGACCTGTGACGTGTAGCGCATTCCGTGGCAATGTCCTCCAGGTGGAACTCGGCCCAGGGGTCAGGCATGTGCTTGGCCTTCTCGATTGCATGCTTCCAAGCTTCCTGCAGAAGCAAAGGGGAGTGTTAGGTCCAGACCAGGGGCTTCTGGGACAGTGCAGGGCAGCTCCTCTCACCCTGTGATTTCCCAGTGTCTCCGACCTCTGGGGAGGCAGACAGCATCAGTCAGAGAGAATCACTCCCATCTATTATCCTTGTAGGAACATAGTTCCCAAAAGACCTCACATGGGCACAGCTCACATGGGCCCAGCTTTCCCACTGCCAGAAGTGACCTATCTTAACTACAAAACCGAAGAAGAAACATAATATGTAGAGAAAACATACACTGCCTCACTTGTTATCACAAAGTTGAGAATGAAAATAAGATGATATTCCCCCATCCCGCCTTGTTCAGACTGGCAAACATTTTAACAGCCGGTAATGACAAGTCTGACCAGGATGTGGGGAAACAGGTGTTCTCACGTACTGTCAGTGGGTATAAACCTCTTCTAAAGGCAATCTGGCAATGTACTAAAATGGAAAAACTGTATTCCTTTATTTTGACCCAGCAATTCTACATCTAGGAATGTATCCTCTAGAAATACAAATGTAAGTGTGCAAACATACGTGTACAAGAGGTATCACTGTGATTGTGCAAAACTGAATTCATCCCAAACGTCTGTGGGGAGTGGTTAATACACTTTGATTCTATTCATTTAAAATATGCTAAACCGCCTTACAGTAGGAATTCTGGGCTCTATCAGGCCCAATGTCACCTTTTCATAAATATTGTATAAATCATAAATACACCCCATTTTACTGCCCTAAATGAAATTCATAGACAATTTAACCTTCTTAAACTCAAGAGTATATCAAACTATGCAAAAGATATGTTGCCTTTACATTAACGAAGTGCTAAGTTCTCAGTTAATTATGAACAGATTCCCATGAGACGTTCCAAGGTCCTGGGGGTGCAGGACAATTCCTTCTGCAGATCTGCTCTGCCCGTTGCAGGGTTCAGCATCCCTGCCTTCCACCCATTTGGTGCCTCAGTGCCTTCCATCGTTGTGCTGCCCGAAAACATGTCCCCAAACGTTCTAACCCTGTTAAGAACAGGGCTTCAAGGGTACTAACTGGGAAAGATGACCAAGGCACGTTATGGAGAGAACATGCTGATTCTCAACAGCATCATAGTACGACCCCAGTTTTTTGTTTTAAGAAGCTCATTTGGGACTTCCCTGGTGGTCCAGTGGCTAAGACTCCACGCTCCCAATGCAGGAGGCCCAGGTTCGATCCCTGGTTAGGGAACTAGATCCCACATGCCACAACTAAGAGTTCACATGCCGCAACAAAGATCCCGAGTGCCGCAACGAAGATCCGCACAGCCAAATAAATAAATATTAAAAAAAAAAAAAAGCAGCTCATTTTACTGCTTTTGTAATCCCAAGGTGGACTCCTTTCTTGTCCCCTCCAAACAAACACTCTGACTCTCACACTGGGTAGCAATACCCTCTCCATCTTTTCCTGTAGAGCTTGAACCTTTGTCCGACAGCCTTTACAGAATTAGTGAGACCGAAACTCCCTTCCAGGCCACAGGCCTGAGCCACAGGGTGGGTCTGGATCGTGGGCTGGCCACTGTCTGGGCCTGGCAGATTCCAGACCTCCCCACCCCCCAATGGCATCCCTCAGCCTCCTGGACCAGCTCTTAGGAGCTCTTCCACGGACTTCCGTCCAAACAGGACAGCTCCCAGCGCGTGCCCCCGGCCTAGGCTCCATCACTGGGAGCCTGCTCAGAGGAGATGAAGCACACACACATGCACGTACACGGCCCAGGGCTCCCTTACTGGGGCTTTCTAATCTCTGCAAAGTCTAAAAATGAAGCCCATAATTTTTTGCTTCCTATTTGGAGGTAATTCATGCTTAATGAAAACACTTGGAAAATACAGAAGACAAAGAAAATTCAAATCTGCCACGTGCCGTCCACCAGAGCAACTATCATCAGTGCTTTGGACTAGTTCTTTTCCAGATCCCTTACGTGCATTTTTAAATAAAATTGGAATCACACTGCACATATAACTTACAGCCTTTCAGGAGAGTGGGTCAGTGGGACTTGGTTCTTTATTTAGTGATCTTGATTTTTTTCCCTGACTCCAAATGTTTGATCTGCTTATTACAAAAAAGTACAAGTACTACAGAATTCTGAATTAGAAAGCAGCACTCCTTTCTAACCTCTAGTCCTCTGAAAACCTCAGCTGACAGTTGATTTAGATATTCTGCAGGTTTCCTCCTATGCATTTGTTAACACACACATGAAGTTAAGAGCACTGGGACAGTATTCTGTTCTGCATCTTACGTTTCTCCACTTAACACAGGATCCTGGACCCAGCCTTTCCATGTCATACGTACAGACAGGCTGGATCGACCTCGTTTCCCTTCCATGGTTGTAGGATACACAATTGTATAAATGTACCTTAAGCTGTTTCTCAGACCTCAGTTGATGGCTATTTAGATTCTCTCTAATAATCCCTTGTATAAACAGTGCTAAAGGGACCATCCTTGTATATAAATCTCTGTGCACTTGTGCAAGAGCTCAGTAGGACATACTTCTTGGAAGTATAATCACTGGATCACAAAGTTTAGAAATTTGGAGTTCTCCAAAAAGATTCTCCTAGGTTACACTCCAAGAAGCAAAGAACAAATCACTCAAATTTTTTGACACAAACATCACATCATGAATTTACAAGTTAGCTGTACAGCTGTGTAACAATCCACTGCATGGGTTTATCATTATTGACTTAACTGTTCACCTGTGGTTCTCCACAGTGAGACTCTGAGCTTGTCACTGCCTTTTCCCTGTTATACATAACCCTGCAGCAGACATGTTTACGACTAAAGCAGTTGCTGGATTTCTGTACTTTAAAAAAGTGCCACAGTCCCCTCTTGTATTCCAGCTGCTGCGAATGGCAGGGATGGCCTTCTGACCCCCACCTGTCATGGAGCCCGCTGAGTTCTGAGTAGTCAGCAGGCCGCCCTTCTGAGCATGTCTGTACAAGCACCCTGTTCTCTGCCTGAGACACACGACTTTCTCAATGTACCTCTCTCAACCGGTGACTAAGACACGCCCTAAGCAACCAAAGACAGGGCCCCCCATTCAATGAGGATTATCGACAGAAATTACCTGCTGGCTGGATGCTATGGCAGCAACCAAAAAAACAGTCAAGGAAAAAAGTATTTCAGAATTAGAGGGCGTGTTATTTCATAGGCTCAGAATTACTTTTACAAACCCAGAAAAAAAATCAAGCCACACCTTACTGGCAACAGGTGGGTTTAATGCAACTGACTTTTTTTTTTAAGCACAATATAAAAAGCCCTGTACTGGGCTTCCCTGGTGGCACAGTGGTTGAGAGTCCGCCTGCCGATGCAAGGGTAATTTGTCTGGCCGACCAAGGTCAGCTGATCCCAGGTCAAATTATGGTGTGGTGGAAAAGCTGCTGAAAACCTATGATACATCAGCAGGGTCCGCATTGCAAAATTCTAAATGCTTCCAGGCTAATTGGACCAAGTGTAATTCTGATGTCAGTGGTGGAGCCACATTAAGTCAGCATTTTAAAAAGCTCCAAATAGAACAAGAGCTTCAGCAAAAGCCAGCTATGTGTGGAGCACAGCAAGTGAAGCAAGGAGCAGATCGGAAAAAGGTAACTGAGGTGAGAAAGAAATTTAACATTTTGGTAGAACTGCATCCATATTTAGCAATGGCTCCGAGTTCAGTCAGTTGCCCATTCATATAAATAGAATGTAGGCACATGTTTTGACATCTTCTTTGTTCCTTGACCCTTCATTTGTGAATAAATATAAACCTTAGAATTGTAACTCAACATGAACTTTTAAAAGCATAGTTTTTTTTTTTGTTTGTTTGTTTGTTTTGCGGTACGTGGACTTCTCATTCTTGTGGCCTCTCCCGTTGCGGAGCACAGGCTCCAGACGCACAGGACCAGCGGCCATGGCTCACGGGCCCAGCCGCTCTGCGGCATGTGGGATCTTCCCGGCCCGGGGCACGAACCCATGTCCCCTGCATTGGCAGGCGGACTCTCAACCACTGCGCCACCAGGGAAGCCCATGAAGAATATTTTGACTACTGGTGGTCAACTTCTTTCCTGTCCCCACCCGTGGGGTAGACACGCTCCCACTAGAAATAGTGGCTCACTGAGCACACAGTGCTCATTACAGGTGAACCACCTCAGCTAAGCTTAAATCACTGGTACTATTTTATCCATCAGGTTAGGAAAAACAGGTGGTTACGGAGGACCGGGAAGTGAGTGCTCTCAGACACTGTGAGGAGGCTGGAAGCAGGTACTGCCACCTTTGAGGGCCACCTGGTTATGCCAGATGGTTGGCCAGTGGTTATGAAACTTCTTCACTGACTTCTGACCCAGCCATTCTGATCACCTACCCAGGTGTGCCCAGGTAAGCCAGCCCGAAGACGGTCGGTGCTCGTAACGCTACGTAACAGGCAAGCATTACAAACAACCTGCCAGTCCACAGGGGGATGATTAGGTACACTTGGCATACTTGCATGCAGCCGTCAAAAAGATGACGATGCTGATATGGGCAATCTCTAAGGCCTACTGTCTGGGGGTAAAAAGCAAGGTGCTGAATAAAGCAAACAGCATGACACCATTTACTGGTGGAGGAAACCCACAAATCAGTACTATAGATTTCTTAGACTCACAGAGAGATCAGACCTGTGGTTGCCAAGCGGGATGGGGCGGGTAGATGGGTGGAATGGGTGATTGGGGTTGGTAGATGCAAACTATTACATTTAGAATGGATAAACAACAAGGTCCTACTGTATAGCATAGGGAACTATATCCAATCTCCTGGGATAAACCATAATGGAAAAGAAGATAAAAAGAATGTCTCTGTGTGTGTAACTGAGTCACTTTCCTGTATAGCAGACGTTGGCACAACATTGTAAATCAACCCTATTTCAATAAATATATATATGAAAAAAATACCATAGATTTCTAAGGATATGTGTGTCTGTAGATATATGCATAAATGTACAT